TTGGTGGTAAATTCACCCTTTACATTTTTTGTACGACTAATTTGATTTTCTTCTGTTTTTTTTTAAATCAAATTAACCAATGGTTTATCTGTTGTATTTTTTATATAAAACCAGTTCTATTTTTATGTACTAGTTCAACGGTTTTCTTACTTTAAATTTTATTAATCTCTCCATTGATATTCAGGATTAACAATTTGATGTTTAAATTGGGGATATTTTAAATTTTTAGTTTTTTAGTTGCATGATCAAATTACTGATTTGCTCCATGTCTTATTGATGTAAGTATTTAAAGATATAACTTCATCCCTAAGTACTGTCTTGACTGCATCCCATAAATTTTGGTTTGTTGTCTCATTGTTATTCTCTTTAATGAAATTATTGTTTCTCTTATTTGTTCTTGACCCACTCATTCTTTAGGATTAGATTATCTAGTTTTCAATTAACTTCTCATTTATCTTTTCATGGCATTGAATGTCATTTTATTGCATTATGATCTAAAAAGAATGCATTTAATGTTTCTGAATATATGCATTTGATTGTGAGGTTTTTATGCTCTAATATATGGTCAGCTTTTGTGTAAGTGCCCTGAACCTCTGAGGAAAAGGTACATTTCTTTCTGTTCTGATTCAATTTTCTCTGGAGGTCTAGCATATCTAACTTTTCTAAAATTTTGTTCATCTCAACTGTTTTCTTGTTTATTTTTTTCATTACATTTATCTAGTTCTGAATGGAGAAAGTTGAGGTCCCACACTAACATAGTTTTACTATTTCCTCCCGTAAATCATTTAACTTTTCCTTTAAGACTTTGGACATGAATCATTTGGTACACATGTGTTTAGTTTTGCTATTACTTCATTGTCCATGGTACCTCTTAGGAAAATGTAGTTTCCTTACTTATCTCCTTTAATTAGATCTACTTTCACTTTTGCTTTGTCTGAGATCTTGATTGCTACCCTTGCCTTTTTTTTTGTCTTCAGCTGAAGCATAATTGATTCTGTTCTAGCCCCTTACCTTTATCCTGTACATGTCTTTCTGCTTCAAGTGGGATTGTTGTAAACAATATATTGTTGGATCCTGGCTTTTAATTCACTATGCTATCCATTTCCATTTTATGGGTGAGGTTATCCCATTCATACTCACAGATATGATTACTAACCCTATGTTTCCCTTCATCCTATATTTCCCCTCTTTAGCCTTCTCATCCTCTCCTTTCACATTGTACCTCCTCAAAAATATATTATTTCTCACCACTACCTCAGAAGCTGATAAATTTTGTGTTATCCTAACTGTGGCATCATGATATTTGGATTATTTCTTTCTGGTTGTTTGTAATGCATGGCTAGCTGGCTGATTGTAATATATTCTCTTTAACCTAGGAGCTCAGGAATTTGCCTATAATATTGTCATTTTCTTATCATTTTAGGATCTCTTTCAGGTGATCAGTGGATTCTTTTCATTTCTATTTTACCCTCTGGTTCTAGGGCATCATTGCAGTTTTCCTTGATGATTTTTTGAAATATGATGTCTAGGCTCTTTTTCAAGGTTTTCAGGTAGTCTAATAATTCTAAAAGTATCTCACCTCAATCTATTTTCCGGAACACTTGTTTTTCCAATGAGATATTTTACATTATTTTCCTATTTTTTCACTTCTTTGATTTTGTTTTATTGTTTCTTGCTCTCTTACAGAGCCATTAGCTTCTACTTGCCCATTCTAATTTTTAAGTAATTATTTTCTTTAGTGAGCTTCTTTTCCATTGGCAAATTTTGTTTTTTAAGGAATTCTTCCTTTCAGTGGATTTTTGTGCCTCTTTGACCATTTGGACAATTCTATTTTTTAAAATTATTTTTCTCTTATCTTATTTTTACAATTCTTTTATTTTTTTTCTCTTCCAGGGTTTTTTTTTTTTTTGGCCTGTGACAATTTACATTTTCCTTTGAGGCTTTGGATGTAGCTATTTTGACTTTGTTGTCTTCACCTGAGTTTATGTCTTGATCTTCCTTGTGACCATAGTAACTTTTTATGGTCAAGTTCCTTTGGTTTGTTTGTTTTTCTGCTTATTTTTTCAGTCTATTTTTTTTTTACATTTAACTCATGTTAAAGTTGAGCCCTGCTCTTGAGGTGGAGAGGGCACTGTCTCAAGTTTCAGGTTTTTCGTGACAATGTTTTCAGAGACGGTTCTTGGGGTTCGTAAGTTTTTAGTTTTTCCAAGGTAGTATGGTCAAAGAAGAGGTGTGGCCCTGTGCTCCTGGCCTGTGCCATGGTCTGTGAGCAACCACAAGCACTCTTTTCCACCCTGGAACTGTGACCAGGGTCCCCTCCCCTCTGTGGCCATAAATGCTACTGTGCTAGTGTTCCTACTCGCCCTGGGAACATGACTCAGAACCGTGTGTGGGCAATGCAACAGAGTCCTGCACCAGTGCCAGCACAGGGTCCTCTGTAATTTCCTTCTGACAAGTTGCCCAACCCCATTAACATCTATAAGCTGAGAGACTCCTATGCAGCCATCCCCAGTCTTGCTGCTGCCTTGCCGTGATGCAGCACTGCCCAGCACTTTTACCTTGGTGAGAGAGACCTTTGCTGTCGATCTCCTGAGTTGTCTTGGGATGGAAAATTGTTTCACTTCAAACTTTTGTTGCTTCTGACCCTCCAGAATCCAATATAAGACTTTATTGTAAAGTCATTTGGAAGGGAATTTGGGAGAGCTCAGGTCCATACCTGCCTTTACTCTGCCCTCTTGGCTCTGCTCTAGCCTCATTTCCTATATGAGAGGTTTGAGCTGGGACTGGCATAGATGCATAACAATGCACCCTAGCACCATCACACTACCTCCAAACTACTCCCCTTTACCTGAGATCTTTTTCCTTCATACTTTTTCATATCCTTCAGATCACAGAAACCTGATATAATCCCTAGTCTCAAGGGGCTCACCTAATGGAAGAGACATCTATAGGTAAATAAAGAACAGACACATACAGAATAAGTGTAAGAACTCTTTATACATGTTAAATACCATTCTGTTAAAAACTGTGCCAGGTCGTGATGTCAAGCTATGGAACTTATGGCCAGCTAAAGCCCCCTTATTGTTGTTTAGTCATTTTCAATCATGTTTGACCCCATCTAAATGGTGTTCATGGCAAAGATTCTGGAGTGGTTTGACAGTTCCTTCTTTACCTTATTTTACAGATGAGGAAACTGAGGCAAACAGGGTGAAGAGACTTGCCCAGGCTCACACAACAAGCAAGTGTCTGAGGCCCGATTTGAATTCAGGTCTTTCTAACTCCAGGCCTGACACTCTCTCCCTTCTGCCACCTAACTGCTAACAGATCAGGTCTTTATCTTTCCCTGTCCTTCACGGCAAATTATGGATACTACTTGTGCCACTGGTTTTCGTTTTATTGAATTTTATTTTCAGTTCCAAACTGTCTCCCTCTCTCCTCACCCACGTATGGAGAAAGGAAGGAAATTTAAAACTATTAAAAATGTGCATAGAAATGCAGAACAAATTTCTTCATTGGCTATGTTTCAAGAAACAAAGTGAAAGAAAGAAAGAAATAGAAGAAAATGCACTTCAGTCTGCACTCTGCGTTCATCAGTTCTCTTTCTGGAAGGAGACAGCAGTTTTCATCACAAGTCTTTCAGAACTGTGTTTGGTCATTGTGTTGATCAGAGTTTCTAAGTCTTTCAGAATTGATCATCTTTACAATGTTGCTCTTACTGTATACATTTTATAGCTGTATACATTATAACAATAATATTCTATCCCATTCATATACCATCACTTCCCTCAGTTTCCATTTTGTTGCTACCACAGAAAGAACTGCTATAAACATTTTCCTACACGAGTCTTTTTCCATTTTTTTAAAAAAATCTCTTTGGAGTATACGCCTAGTGGTGTTATCATTGTGTCACAGAGTACATATGATTTAATAACTTTTGAGGCACAGCTCCAGATTGCTTTCCTTAAGGGCTAAACCATTCCTCAGTGCCATCATCAGTTCAATAATGTGTCCATTTTCCCACAGCTCCTCCAACATTTGCCATTTTTTTGGTCAACTTTGCCAATCAGATAAATATGAGGTAGAAACTCACAGTTGCTTTATTTGACATTTGTCTAATTATTCCTGAGTTGAATGATTTTTCCTGTGGCTCAGTACTTCTTAATTTGACAACTGCCTGTTCATATCCTTTAATTATTTATGAACTGGGGAACGCATGTTATTCCTATAAAGGTGAATTCATTCCTCAGATATCTTGAAAATGAGACTTTTATCTAAAAAAGAAATTACCACAAAGATATTTGCCCCAATTGCTTATTTCATTTCTAATTTTATCAGAATTAGTTTTGTTTCGCAAAAACTTTAATTCTCCATTTTAACTTCTATGATCCTCTCCACCTTTGATTGGTCATGAATTCTTTCCCTAGCCATCAATCTGAAAGGTATTTTTTTTTCTATGCTTCTCAAAAAAAAATTTTTTTTAATCTACGGAATGCATTCATTTGGAGGTTGTCTTGGTATATGGTGTGTGATGCCGGTCTATACCTAGTTATTTCCAGACTGCTTTTCAGTTTTCCCAGCAGTTTTTGTTAAATAGTGAATTCTTACTCCCAATAACTGTGATCTTTAGGTTTATCAAATATGTTGTGTAGCTCATCTGTTCCACTGACCCACCCACATTTCTTAGAGAATCCCAAATTGTTATAATGATTACTGCTTGGAGATCCAGTACTGCTATGTCTTTCCTGCTTTTTTTCAGTATTTCCCTTAAGATAATTGCTATTTTGTTCTTCCAGAGGAATTTAATCCTTTGGTAATTTGATTCGATATTGAATAAGTAAATTAATTTTGGTATTATTGTAAATATAAGCAGCGAATTCTCAAATCCACCGCCTTTCTTCTAACACAAGATGATTTGCTGATAGTTTGCGCTGTGCTGAAATTTGCTTAACAGTATCAAAGGTGCGTCCACCAGAATGCCTCATGTTTCTTTTCCTGTACAGATCAGCCATGGACCTTTTGATTCCAACCTGAGTGACAAGGCCCAGTTTCCCTCTCTGTACCACGTGGCTCATAAGGACTCCTCTCTGCACCAGGGTACAGTGCGATTATTGGGACATTTTGAATGGACTTGGGTTGGTCTGGTGACCACAGATGATACGACAGGTGAGGAGTTTCTCTGGGATATAAGCAGGGACATGGCCAAGCACGGCATCTGTATGGCCTACACAGAGAAGATCCTAGTCAGTGAGAGACGGCACACAGCATCCCACAAAATGTTCATGCCATGGATCACGCAATCCTCAGCCAGAGCCATCATCATTCATGGTGATACAGATTCACTTATGATCCTTAAATATTCACAGCCTCTTTTTGTCATAGTTGGGAAGGTCTGGATCACTACATCTCATTGGGACATCACTGTGAGACCTCACTTGAGTGATGGCTACATTTTCCATGGATCACTTTCATTTTTACAAATGAGAAGAGAGATTCCTGGTTTCAAGCCCTTTCTTACGACAGTGAACCCTACTAAATATCCAGAGGACATTTTACTTAAAGAGTTCTGGTGCTCAGCATTCAAAAGCCAACAGAAACTTGAAAAGAAGAGCAAAAGGAGTGTTCACCAAATGCCTCCTTGGAGGCTCTGCCTCTGAGCTTCTTTGATATGACCATGTCTGGTCAGAGTTACACCATCTATAATGCTGTGCATGCTGTGGCCTGGGCCCTCCACGAAATGCTCCTGGTGACATCTGAGAGAGGATCTGTAAGAGATGGAGAAAGCTGGGTGCCTCAGCCATAGCAGGTAAGATGAAGTGCCTTCTATGAGCCAGTCACTATAGTAGGTATTGGATATACATCAATGCATCAAGGACCTGTCATTTCTGCAGGGTGGGTGCTTCCTCCTCCAATGTAGTTGGCAATTTGTCTCTAACATATAGTCTTAGAGTGTCCTAATTAATACATAGCTAATTCAACAAATAATTATCAAGGGATTTAAATGTGCTAAGCACTGTGCTAGATGCTGGGGATTACAAGTAAAAGGAATGAAGTAATCCCTACAAGGGAAGGGAGGGAGGCATAAATAGTTTGGAGGGGGGAGGGATCAGGAAAGGTGTTCTGGAGAAGGAGGCTCTGAAATTGTAACAGGAAGGAAGGGATTCAGTGTGGAGGAAGTAAACAGTGCATTCCAGGCTTGGGGAGGGTAAGGCAAGTAGTACAAAGGCCCAGAGGTGTTTTGTATGAGGAACAAAGGAGAGGCCAGCTTGGCTGAAGGAGAAGAGTGCAGGAGGAGGAGTCATGTCTAATGAGGCTGGAAAGATTTGTCAGTTTCAGGCTGTGAAGTGCTTTAAAAGTGAACAAGAGGAGTTTATATGTTCTTCTAGAGGTGATGAGGTGCCACCATAAAGGGGGATGGATATGAGTGGTTTGTGGAGGAAGAATGGCAAGATTGTTCACTGATTGGCTATGAGTGTGGGGGAAGAATCAACCATCCAAGAATGAGTCCAATGAAACAAACTTGATTGCCTGACCTTTGGAAAAGAGTTGTGATCGGTGGAAAGGTTGCAGATTCTATTGTATCGCTTCTTAAGGTCGCAGTGCTAAGAGAGTGTTAGAGGAGAGTTTTGAGCCTGGGTCTTCCTGACTCCAACTACAGCATTATCTCCACCATGAGCTTGCTTTGAATAACAGACAAGAAATGAACAGTCCCTCCCTTTGGTGAAAATTATGTTCAACTTGAAGGATAAAATTATACAGAGAGAAATAAATACAAGGTCATTTAAGATGGGAGAAAGCATCAACATGGGAGAAGGATGTCACGAAAAGTTTCCCAGAGGAGGTGGCCACTGAACTGAGACTTAAAGGAAGTGAGAGTGGAAAAAAAAGTATTAACACTACTCTGATTCTGATGCACTGGAAACAGCTTAATTTAACATTATTCTAAATCCAAGTATTCTAGCCTGGAGAGAGAAATAGCCAAACTGGCATAGTGTACCTATGGTCTCAGACATCTCTGTCCCCTAAGAAAATTTGAGGTGACTTTTTTTTAAGGAATCTTGAACCAGGAAAATATCATAACATGTTAAACTACAGCTTGGGGTTAGCATTGCCAAGTAACACAGCAGGTCTGGACTAGTGTGAATAAAGAATATATTGAAGTAGTAGCGTTATTCATATCTGCATATTTCCACTGTGTTAGAAGTAATTGCCATATTTTACATATAAAGTCAAAAATTGCAAATGTGCATGTGTACTTTTTGGGACTCAGTATTCTCACCAATCAGGACCTAGCTGTAGTCACCACCTATTTATTCCCATATCATTGGATTCCTTAAGGGCTATAAAGTCTTCCTTCTTGTGGTAAGTATCTTACTCCAGCTGCCCTTAGGTGGGTCTTGGCACCACTCTCTTCAGAAGGGTGGGAAGGCCATGATCCTTTCCAGACAAGAGTGATATCTGGTTATCACTTGTGATTCATTCTCTGGGATCCTAGCCTTTATTCTATACCCTGTACTCCTTCTCAAACCAGAAAACAGTCTGGAAAGCATTGGTAGACCAGACAATTCTCATTTCTTAATATTTTCAGATGAATTCAAAAAATTTAATGTGCTTTCACACTAAGGATTCTAAAATTAATCAGCAAAAATCTATTAAATGCTTACTATCTGCTAGGCAATGGAGGAACAAAAGGAATAGAGTCCCTACCTCAAAGAGCTATAGTGTACTGGAAAAGACATATGTACATACACAAATATCTTCAGAATAAATACAAAATGTACGTGAGGCAGTGTCTAGTCTAAATTACATCATCTAAAAGGTGGAATGAGTGTATTGTATAGGGAAACAGTCTATTCAAAGACAGGGAGGCAGGAGATATAATGTAGAGCTCAGGCTATAGCAAAGAAAATCGACTATCTGCAATATAGTGTGTGAAGGACATAAGATGAAATATGATGTACAGTCTTTCTTTACATGACATCTCATCACGCAGTCTCTAAAACATTGTCCACATCTTTAATATGCACCGTTGCCATACTGTCTTTCCCAGAATCGCAACAGGAGCTCAGGAGAGATTTGTGGTTTCTCTTTATAACGAGCTGGGTTTCTTGTCCCCAAGTAACAAGAGATGACCCAAGATGGCCTTGGATATTCAAGGCCTCTGGAACCAATGTGGATGTAAAGTAAGCTGTCTAAATATTTCTTTATAAATGTTGACAGAGTTGGCAGATTTTCAAACATGCGCCTAAAGCCCCGCGCCTCTGGGGACACAGACTGCTACCCCATGAGCAGATGGGCTTTCCTGAATGTGATGCTCCCTTCCAAGCACTACAGGCTGCAGTGAAGACCTTAGATGCCGGACAGTAGCACCTGGCCTGGACAGTTCTGTAGCTAATAACAATGCTCATGGCCAGCATTTATTTAGCACTTTTAGGTTTGCAAGGAAGTTTACACGCTTTATCTCGTCTATTCCTTACAGCAATAGTAGGAGGCAGGAATTATTCTTATCCCCATTCTACAGATGAAAAATGTAAGACCCAGAGATACTGTGTCTTTCCCAGAGTCACATGCCTAGTAAGCATCCGGAGATTTGAAATCAAGCTTTCCTAACTCCAAGTCCTGCCACCTCTCCCCCAGGCCACCTAGCTTTATAACATGAAGTCTCTGAACCATCAACTTTCTTTGTTTTTTTCAAAATTAATTTATTTTGATTTATCAACAATCACTTCCATATGCTTTTGAGTTTAAAATTTTTCTCCCCCTTTCTCTCTACTACCCTCCTCAAGATGGTGCACAATCTGATCTAGGCTTTACATACATATTACTATTAAACATATTTTCACATTAGTGATGTTGTAAGTAAGAATTAGAACCATTAGGAGGAACCAGCAGAAAGAGGACACAAAACTCAACAGGAAAAAAAAATCAAATAATATGCTTCAATCTGCATTTAAACTCCATAGTTCTTTCTTTGGATGTGGATAGCATTTTCCATCATGAGGCCTTTGGAGATGTCTTAGATCCTTGTATTGCTGGGAAGGGTTAAGTTTATCACTATTAGTGATCGCACAACGTGGCTGTTATCATGTACAACATTCTCTTGGTTCTGCTCACTTCACCCAGCAGCAGACCATACAAGTCTTTCCAGATTTTTCTGAAGTCAGCCTGTTCACCATTTCTTATAGCACAATAGTATTCCATTACATTCATATACCACAGCTTGTTCAGCCATTCCCCAGTTGATGGACATCCTCTCAATTTCCAATTCTTTGCCACCACAAAAAGAGCTGCTATAAATGTTTTTGTACATGTGAGTCCTTTTCCCATTTGTATGATCTCATTGGGATATAGCCCTAGAAGTGCTATTGCTGGGTCAAAGGGTATGCACATTTTTATAGCCCTTTGGGCATAGTTCCGAGTTGCTCTCCAAAATGATTGGATCATTTCACAACACCACCAACACTGCATTAGTGTCCCAATTTTCCCACATCTTCTCCAACATTTATCATTTGCTTGTTTTGTCATGGTGGCCAATCTGATAGGTGTGATATGGTACCTCAGAGTTGTTTTGATTTGCATTTCTCTAATCAATAGCATCAACTTTCTTTCCAAGAAATGATGATAGACTTAGTTGAGCCTGTGTGGAAAACCAGTTCAGTGAGTTAAGACAATCCCATACAAGGGCTATTGAAGAGCTTTACTAGTCAATAGGGCCTTCTGTCTGCAGCATCCACTTCCAGCAGAAGGCTTACACGTTTCTGCCACTCCATGCCTGGCCCTCTCAGAAGCACAATGAGCACACACACTCCACCTTTGAGTTGGGGTTTCTCTATTAGTTTGTTGGTTATAGTTCTTCATTCTCAAAGACGACCAAAATGACATCCCTTGCTAGAGTCAAGTTTTAGTGTGTCCGACTGTGGCTGATCAGACCAATACAAGCTCAGAATGTTCTACCACAGATCAGGCACGAATAGCCCATGTGAACATTTGGGGTGGATTCTTTAAATTTGTGCCTCTCACATTTCTTTGGAGTTACTTCAATTCTGCTTTGCTCATAGAGCACAGGGCCTTCTCTGATGTGGGAACGCCATGCTGGGTGGGCCTGTGCCAGTGTCTCCCATGTCACACAATCAATTCTAAAGTTCTAAAGCAAGACCTTGAATGTGTCCTTGTATCGCTTCTTCTGACCACCATTTGAATGCTTGCCCTGTGTGAGTTCTCCATAAAATAGATTATTTTTGCTAAGTGTGCATTTGAACAACATAGCCAGCCCATCAGAGTTGCACTCTCTGCAGTACAGTTTGAACACTTGGCAGTTTAGTTCAAGAAAGGACCTCAGTGTCCAGTATCTTATCCTTCCAGGTGATCTTCAGAATCTTCCTAAGACAATTCAAATGGAAGCAATTCCATTTCTTGGCATGGTGCTTGTAGACTGTCCGAGTTTCACACACATACAACAATGATGTCAGCACAGCGGCTGTGTAGACCTTCAGTGTGGTGGGCAGTCTAATAGCTCTTCTCTCCCACACTTTCTTTTGGAACCTCCCAAACACTGAACTAGCTGTAGCAATGCCTATGTCAACCCTATTATCAATGTGTACAGCCTTAGAACGTACACTGCCAAACCAAATAAACTTATCCACAGCATTCAAAGCTTCTCCATTTGCTGTAACCAATGATTCCATATTATGGATGGTGTGGTGGTGGCTGATGGAGCACCTACCATTTTCTTGGTGTTAATTGTTAGGCCAATATTAGCATAAGCAGCAGAAAATCAATTCATACTTTGTTGCATCTCAGCTTCAGAGGCTGCACTGAGTGCACAATTACCTGCAAACAGAAAATCATGCACCAACACTCCCTCCACTTTGGTCTTGGCTTGTAGCCTTTTCAAGTTGAAGAATTCACCATCAGCACAGTAGCTCACTTTGATGCCATCAAAGTGAGCTACTGCACTGATGATTTAAAAAAAATTGAACATCTACTACTGTAAATGAACATCTCTGTCATTGCCTCTAACAATGTGAAAGTCTCCCCTTAGAGTGCTGAATCTACTTTCTAGGTGAGCTCTTTCAGAAGCCAGGATGTTAATCACCCCCATCAAACAAGAGCACATCCTTCAGGTTATGAGTGTTAGAACTTCCTGCATAGTCCCCAGGTCCTGGTTTGGGAAGAGCCTTGCACTTGGCCACCAGGAAGTCCCTCTTCCCTTCCAGATCTACTCCTTTCTGAAGAAAACCCAATTTAACAACAGTGCAGGTAAGCAGGTGTTTGTGAATGACTCCAGAAGTTCTGAGGCTCAGTATGACATTGTGAAGTATTTGTTATTTAAAAATGAGACTGAAGCTCTGGTGAAAGTGGGACAGTTAATCCCCAATGCTCCACTTGGTCAAGTTTTCACCATTCGCGAGGAAGCCATAGTGTGGGACTGGTATGAGTCTAAGGTCAAGGGTAATTTCGATGTTAATTTGGGGCTTCCAATCATGGAAACACATCTTATTTATTGGGTCATCTAATGTACATAAAAAGCTTTTTAAAATTTAAAATCCTGCATAAATGTTAGCTATTCGTATTAACTCATGCATTGTCATATTTCTATAGAGAAAACCTTCCTCTGCTATCTGCCTCCCTCTCCTTCCCAGAAAACCTCAAGAAGAAATAATAAGCAGTCAGTCAAGCTGATGTTGCCACATTGTGGTATATTTCATATGCTGCATTTTGCCAAAGTATCTATTCACTTGACTTCAGCTAAAACATATTCATCCAATTATCCCAAAGTTTTGCCCAATGAAACCAAACAATGGACTTGACTGATTGCTTTTAAAAACTTAGCTGCATTTCTGAATATCTCCAAACCATTTGGTTTACCAAATTACTTTAGGATTTGCTATTTACTGTCCATTGAACAATCGGCTCCATCCCTTCCTTCAGCTCTATGTGCCTTACCTCCTCTATGTATAGAGATTTGGTCACTAGTCTGCCTTTCTTTCAATAATGAGCTTGAACACCAATGGACAAGATCATATTTAGAACAATGGAATGTTATACTGGAAAGGGACCTTTGTGGTCTAACCATCTCTTTTTTCAAATGCAGAATCTGAAAGCCAGGGCAGAAGAACAGCTCAGCCAAAGTCACATGGCTATGGATGAATATGAATAAAAATGAGATTTCTTGAACACTGATCTAGTGAACATTTTATTACCTGTGCTCATTGGTTTATGGGCTAGGGAGAAGTCCCAAAGCTCTTCTACAAAAGGAGGTTCCTTTGCCTATCCCAAAAATGATATTGGAAATTCTCACAAAACAATCTACTTTGCTATCTCTTGTTCCTTCCCAGATCGTTCAAGCACTTTCCTCTCTTATCACTCTTCAGACCCCCTGTGCTGTGTGCAGTGAGAGCTGTGGCCTTGGATTCAGGAAAACTACACTGGAGGGACAGCCCATGTGCTGCTTTGACTGTCTTCCATGCTTAGAGGGGGAGATTTCCAAACGAGTGAGTAAGTATTTGCAATGGCCTTTAATAATGAAAACATAACAGCTGGTCTTGGGCCCGTGGAGTCGCACAGAATTATTGGGAACATTGATGACAGAGAAACAAGACACACCGTGCCAAGAGGGGCGGATTCAGTTTTCTTTTTCTGTATGTATCTCATGTCCTTGGCTCTTGGTGTGGGTATTGAACACCATGGCATGAAGATAAGCATCAGCTGGATGCATATGGACGATACTAGATCTGGAATTGGAAGGTGCTGAATCTGGAACTGGAACGGAAGATGCTCAGGAGCACCTAGTTCAACTCCCTCATTTAACCAGCCAAGGAACTGAGACCCTGTGAGGTTAAGTTATTGGAAGTAAGAGAGTTGGGATCTCAACCCAGGTCTTCTGAGTCAAATCACTGGTTTTTTCCCCACTATACTATAGTGTGGTGGAGAGAGCACTGGACCAGGGGTCAGGAGAAACTCAATTAAATCTCATTTCTTACACTTATTAGCTGTGTGACCTTGTGTGTAGAATGACATCCATGGCACTTGGTTTCTCCACACTTGTAAAATGATAGGATTAGACTGATGGCCTATGGGATCCCTTCTATCTCTACTGCTATGATCTCTGAAAAGCAAAGTGGTTCAGTGAAAAGAACAGTCAATATGGGGTTAGAGGGCTGGGGTTCAAATTCTGTCTCTACTACTTACCATCTGTATGACCATGAGCAGGTCAGCTCACCTCTGTGGCCCTTTATTTGCTCATCACTAAAATGGAATGATTGGCATGGGTAACATCTAAGGTTCATTTCAGGACTACATCTGTGACACTATGTAGACGTATGTGAATACTAGGATGAAGGTAGGCATGTTCAGAGGGTGTAAGGTTTCTCATTGGATAAATGCTTCCTAAGAAGGTTTAGATTAAGGTAGGGCTGAAAGAGGTACTCTCAGGTGAAAGCAGTTTGGCCAGGCAGAAAGACAGCACTGGCTGTTGAGGAGGCCAGTTCAAGTTGGGAGTTTGAGGCTGTGGGTGAGTAGGAGATGGGGTAATTTAGTCTGAAGTTTCGGGAGCATTCTGATGCCTTGGCCAACTTCTTAGCTGGCTGTAGTAGCTTAAAGCCTGTGGCTATGACTAAAGAGGCTTGCCCTGGCCATCTGAATTCCAACAAATGGAAGCCAAGACGGTAGCAGGTAGGCCTGAAGAGATGAAGTGTAGAAGTTGGTAGCAGTGAAAAGCCTGGGGATGATACTCACAGTGGACGGCCCAGCAGTCGCCAGCTACAGCATGGACAATGGCCAGCAGGAACCGTGACAGCACATGAGCCTGGGCCCCAAGCCAGCTATTTGTGGCTCCCATGGCATAAACCCTTGTGCAGCAAGGACTGAAGTCTGCTCTCATTCTGCTGCACTCTAATGTGTCCTTCAAAAAGGAAGAAAAGGCTGAGGCTGTGATCTGACTCCAGTTGAGAGGCGAGCACCAAGGAGACATCTAGATAGTCCAAAACAACCAACTCATCCACAATGACTGTAACCCATCCTCCATGAAGCACCAAGGCACATGTCTGTACCCTTCCCCAAAACTGGCAGTCAAAAGCAACAACTCAACAGGGAACTCTCCACGATGGTAAACCTGCTTCACTTTACAGTCAAGGAGGCAGAGAGCTGAGATGACTAAGCTCACATCAGTGGTCAGGCTAAGACTCCAAGCCATAGTTAACACCAGGAGACTTGGATTTCAATCTCAGATCTTCAAAGTCCTACTGCAGCAGCTCTGGGCGAGCCTCTGGGTTTTTGTAGCTCTTAGCTTTCTCCACTGTTGAACGAGGGCACTGGACTGGATTTTCATTAAGCTACATGTGACCCTCCAATGGTATTGAGTCAGATTTGTAGCTCATCAGTGTTCCTTGGCCTCTGCCATATTGCTTAGGCCACACACCAAGAGAAGGGCTGGCTGACACATCACACTGTGTGCTCTCCTCAGGCAAAGTACAGAGCAAACTCCTCACCAGAAATTGTTGCCCACCTACTCAAGCCTGCAGTTTAAGGTGGGAGCACCATTAGGTGCATCATTAGGAAGAGAATCAGATTCAGAAAAGAGCAAAGAAGAGGCATTTTTTTTTTCATGGCGAAGAAGTATTTGTGTTGGAATCTTTTGGGTGTCAATGCTGAGATCAGTTGTCTTTAAATAATGATAAAGCACCTGGAAGAGTGAATGGACAGTGACTCCTACAATAACAACAACAACAGATTTATACAACACCTTAAAGTCTGCAAAGCTTTACCAGTAGTATTTCACTTTACCTTCCCAACAACTCCAGGAGATAGGTGCTATTAGTACTCCCATTTTATACATGAAGTAACTGAAGTTAAGTAACCTGCCCAGCTCATAAGTGCCTGACATCACATTGTGCCAGCAGCTGGCGTGGTGCAAGACAGAGCAGTGAAAGAAAAATGGGGAAGGGAAATGGAGAAAGAAAACTTGGGCTAGGCAAGTCTGAGATTAATGCTCACAACTAGTTTATTTCAAGAGTTTTCTGATTATATACACATAGAAAAACGGCTTTGTACCATGAGAAATGATCCACAAGTGCTAATTAATAACATACAAAAACTAAGCAGCTAAAGAGCCTCACTTTCTCATGAGAAAGCAGTTTTAATTCCAAAATTCATATCTATTGTTTCCCTGCCCAGTTCTTAGTATTACCTGCCCGAGTCAGCCACCTGGCCTCAAGGCTGGGCATGAGTGAGAACTTAAAATCAACAAACTATAATAAGTGGAATTGGAGCAAGAGTCAAGGGACTGTTTATCCCAAGGCAAGCCTCTATAGTACTGACCCCTTAAGTCTATCAGGACTTAGAGATTGTCCGTAAGGACTCTGCTCCCTACAACATTGGAACTCAGATAATCCTGACTCCAAATCCAATGAGGATTTTCTCCCCACAGCATAATCTAGCTGCCTTTATAAGCAAGGAGCTCTTCCATGTAGAGAGAGTATAAGTCCATGGGGGTCAACTTCAGGAAAATATCATTGAGCTGAGTGAATGGCCTAAAACAGAAAATGAGTTCCATCAGGGACATGTGGGAATTAAAAACAAAACAAAACAAACAAAAACACAAAACAAAATACTGCACTCATCAGATAAAGAACTCTACCATAATTGAATGTTCTCATTTCCTGAACATGTGCTTTTACCCAAGACCCTCCCCACACAAGGCTGGCATCCTCAAGATAACTGTTGGAAAACCAGAATGGAACCTTTGCACAAAAAACAAACAACCAAGACTCTTTGACTATCTACCCCTATCTGGTTTTCATCATATTGTGATTCAGAAAAGGTCTGAAGAAGAGCTGCTACACAGTGTCATTATTAGTGAGTGGAAGGATTTGTTTCCCTATGCCTTCAGGGAACAGAAATCAATGATTAAGCTGTATTTCTCTATTAACTGGGTATTCACACCTAAGGATCTCCTGAAAAAGTGCAACCACTTCATTTTCTGCTGAAATGGGAAGATCCATACCATTTACTGACTGACAAGATGTCATTGAAAAAGATAGGTTGACCATCATTTCTAAGGCAGGGTTGGTAGGAGCCATCAATACAAGAAGAACCTGGCCCCTGAGAAGGAATCTCACTTGTGAGGAAGGAGGCGGTTTCTCTCCCATCCCTCTTCCTATCTCCCACCAACCATGGCACCCAAGAGACACTCTTCCCAGAAATCACAAAGACAGTACAAAAGAGCTTGAAGTAGCATTGAGGGAGATACTCTCCCGGCAGACATCAACACAAGGAAACAATCACAAATCAAAGAAGCTTCCAGGAGAGTGACCTCTGGCAGAAAGGAAGAAAGCCCACTGCGGACTCAAGAAAACTAGTCCTGGCAATGAAAGTTTGGCTGCAAAGAGGACTCTGTGAAGAGAGAAAGGACTCCGAGGTGTCCCTGACCTGGAGAAGCAAGGAGCTCAGGCCATGTTCCCTTCTCATCGGCCACACTCTAATAACAGCCTAAGATTATGTCCACTCATTCCACAAGTGCCACAGATATTTGGGGGAAAGTGTGAAGCATGTTTCTGAGGGGAATGATTTGTAAAAACTATTTTTTACTCTTCTATTTCAGTAAAAAACCAACATGATAAACAGAACCTTGCTATGAGCTACTTATGTCTATTGTCAGAGGGAAGCAGAGCAGCAGAGCCCTATGAGCTATGCTTTTAGAGGAGGGCCAGTCCCTCCCATACCTGTAGAACCTGAGAACAGCCCAGTGCATTCTAGGGACTCAGTCCTCAAATGTGAGGACACGTTGGCCACGTCACTGGCACAGTGGATACAGTGCCAGGCCTGGAGTCTGGAAGCTGTTGTTTAGCCATTTCAGTCGTGTCCAATCCTTCGGGACCCCATTTGGGGTTTTCCTGGCAGAGATACTGGAGTGGTTTACCATTTCCTCTTCCAGCTCATTTTACAGATGAGGAAACTGAAGCAAACAGGGTGAAATGACTTGCCCAGGGTCACACAGCTAGAAGTATCTGAGGCCAGGTTTAAACTCAGGAAAGTGAGTCTTCTTGACTCCAGGCCTGGTGCTCTATCCAAGGTACCACCTAGCTGCCCAGAGTCAGGAAGACCTCAATTCAAATCCAGCCTCACATGCTTACTAGCTGTGTGACCCTAGGCAAGTCACTTAACTTATACTGGCCTCAGTTTCCTCATCTGTAAAATGGGAATACTCATAGCCCCTGCCTCCCAGGATTCTTGTGGGGATCAAATGAGATGACAGTTGTAAAGTCCCTTGGTACAGTCCCTGGCACATAGTAGGTGCTATATAAATGGCAGCTATTATTATCATTATTATAATGATTCATGTTGGGGAAGCAGCATGGAGCACACTTGCAGTATGAGCATCGATAGACTGAGGAACTCTTTTCTCCAATAGGGAAAGAGAAATCCTGAGACAGAACACGATCTCAGCCTCACAAGTTATAAAGAATATTGGCTCAGTGGAACTGGGCTTGATCATCGAGGTGCCCTCCAGTGGTACAGTCTTCAATTATAGCCTGAGGGCCACGTCTCACCCTCTGGAGCCAGAAGGATGAGCAGAGCTATTGTGCCTGGTTCCTGGTTCTGAGAACATGGCAAATTTAGTCAGCACAGAACAATGAGCTGCTTCTTGTCCCCTACAGACATGAAGCACTGTGTGAAGTGCCCAGAAGGGGAGTCTCCAAGCAAGGAGAGAGATCACTGCCTTCCCAAAGCCATTACCTTACTGGATATCAAAGAACCTCTGGGGATGTCCCTAGCCTGTGTGGCCCTTTTCTTCTCAGTGCCGACGGCCGTGATTCTCTGGATATTCGTCCAGTTCCGAGACACTCCCACAGCCAAGGCCAATAACCAGGCTCTCAGCTATACTCTCCTCATCTCCCTCACCTTCTCTTTTCTCTGCTCCTTGCTCTTCATTGGCCATCCCACTGCAGCCACCTGCCTCCTCAGACAACAATATTGGGGGTTGTCTTCACTGTAGCTGTTTCTTCCATTTTAGCAAAAACCATTATGGTGGTTCTGGCCTTCAAGGTTACAATACCAGGAAGCAGGAGCAGAATATGGGTGCAACCTAAAGTGCCCAACTGTGTTGTCCTCCTTTGCTCTGGGATTCAGGTGATTCTCTGTGGCATCTGGCTGGGAACATCTCCGCCCTTCCTAGACATGGACCTCCACTCTGAACCTGGTCACATCATCATTCAGTATAATGAGGGCTCTGATATTGGCTTCTACTGCGTCCTGGGCTACATGGGCTTCCTAGCCCTGGGGAGCTTCACAGTGGCTCTCTTGGCCAGAAGCCTCCCTGACACCTTCCATAAAGCCAAGTTTATCACATGCAGCATATTAGTTAGCAGTGTCTGGATTTCCTTCCTCCCCACATACCAGAGCACCAAGGGAAAGGCCATGGTGGCTGTGGAGATCTTCTCCTTCCTGACATCCAGTGCTAGGTTACTGGGCTGCATCTTTATTCCCAAGTGCTATGTGATCTTACTGAGGCCAGATGAGAATACTCAGGAATGCATAAGAAAGAAATCACATTGCAAGCATGGGAAGCATGCAGTAACACTGCCTCAGAATTCCTTCCCAAGGCAGAAGAGATACCTGAGAAATGGCCTCTATCATTCTGGGATATGTGTTTTACTGACTTGATAACACCTGAATCCTGTGTACTTTGTACATTCTACTGAATCTTTTCTCCAGCTTTTCTAATTTTGTGAATGCTAGCATCCTATTAAATCCCCTTCGGGCAGCCAAGTGGTACAATGATTAGAGGGTCAGCCCTGGAAGTAAGGAAGACCTGAATTCAAATGTGGCCTCAGACACTTACTAGCTGTGTGACCCTGGGCAAGTCACCAAAACCTATTTACCTCAATTCCTTATGTGTTAAAAAAAAATAAGCTGGGGAAAGAATTTCAGACTATGCCAGTGTCTCTGCCACAAGTCCCCCAAGTAGAGTCACAAAGAGTTGGACACAAGTGAATGGACTAAACAAAATCCCCTTATCTCACAATTGTGAAAACGTTCCTCTTCATCTCTGTCTTTAGTGCTCCCCAGTTAATGCTCACTTGAGTATTCCTGATTTCACTCCTCCATTTCTTTAGCCACCATCATTGATGACCCTCAACACCTCCATCCTGAATGGCTGAATCAATCAATCAATCAATAAACATTTATCAAGCGCCTACTATGTGCCTGGCACTGTGCAAAGCCCTGGAGATTTAAAAAAAAAGGCAAAAAGCAATCCCTGCCCTCAAAGAGCTCACAGTGTAATGGGGGAGACAAGTAAACATATAAGAAAAATATATGCATGACACAAACAGGAAATAATTTGAAAGAGGACACCAGCATTAAGAAAGGATCCCTACAGAAGGTGAGATTTTAGTAGGCATTTATAGGAAGCTGGGAAAGTCCAACCTGCACTCAGCTGACAAAGTGATATTCCTGAATGCAGGTCTCTCCACAGCAGTCCCCTATTCAATGAACTCCAGGGGCTCCCTACCTCCTCCAGGATCAAATGCAAAACCCTCACTTTGGCCGCCAGTCCTTCCTAACCTGGCTCTCTCCTCCCCTTCCCAGGTTCCTACATCGTACTCCCCTTAGTCCTCTGGACTCTGCAGTCCAGCCACACTGGCTCCCCGGCTGTTTGCACTTGATACTCCATTTCCTGACTTTAGGCATTTCACAGTGCCTGCAATTCTCCCCCACCCCTGACTGCTCTAGCTCCCGACAAGTTCCAGCTAAAATCCCACCCCTACAAAAGGTATCTCCCTAGCTTACAAACTTTAAAGCTAACATCTGCCCTTTGCTGAGGATCTCCTTGTCAGTTGTGCCTTCCTGTATCCTGCTTGTACATAGTTGTTCGCATGCTGCCTCCCCCATTAGCCTGGGAGCTCCTTGAGAGCAGAGACTAGCTGTAATCTTTCTTTGTATTCCTCCTTCTCAGCACTGTGGCCATCGTTCGGAGTTGGTCCTTAAGAGATAGCCTGACTACCCCAGTTAGTGGCTGGGTGGTGTGAGATCATGGGAAAGCTGCTAGATTTGGAGTCAAGAGGACAAACCTACAGCATACTTGTGAACAAGTCACTTATCTGCTCTGACCCTCAATAATGGCACTTGTCCCTTCCTCGAGGGCCGATTGGGGCTCAAATGAGATCATGTAAAGGGTTTTATAGGCACCATATACAAGTCAGCTACATGATAGCTCCAAATCAATTTCCAATGTTCTTCCTATTGTATTCCCCTTCCTTTCAGGCAGGCTGGCAGGGGGATGGTTATGGAGAATGACCAACATGTCGAGGGGCTCTAGACTGCACATGCACTGACTGAAGGAACTGGACGTGTCAAGGCCAGAAAACATTTAGGTGTGTACAGCAAAAGGCTATCAGCTTTGGCAAATTAAGAGACCATTGGGTACTTAGGAGAGAACAGGTTCAATTGAGTGATGAGGTTGGAAACAGGGTTGCCAAGGGTTAAAGAATGAGTACAAGAAGAGGTAGAGCAGGCAGTGACAGTGGGCAGCTTTTCTGAGTTTCTACTTTTCTAGCTTTACAAGGGGCCTTATGCTCCAGCTGCCTCTGCAGGAGCCTGCTGTCCAACAACATCCCCTAATTCAAAGGGGCTTACACTCCTATCTAGATATCCTGTAGGAGGCTTCTCCCCTTGAAATCCGAGCAACAGTACAGCCCAGGAATTGGCCCCTCTATTTCCACAAAAATCCTACTTTTCTTCCTCCAATCTTCTCTTTGCCACCAGCACCCAATCCATAGAGTAAGCAAGAAAAACAAAACCCATTACAAACATTTATAGCCAAGCAAAACAAATTGCCACACTGGCTATGTTTGCCTCCCTGCCCTCACCCCAATATTTCAGTCTGCAAAATGAGTCCATCACTACCATGTCTGCGGATGGGCAGCATGTTTCATCATGTCCCCTGGAATTCTGGCTGGTTATTTTATTAATAAGAGCATATAAGTCTTTGCAAGTTTTATTTCTTTGCAACATTGTTGTTTTGGTTCTATTGACTTCACTCTTCATCAGTTCTGAAAAGGATTCCCAGGTTTACCCAGGTGCTGGACCAGCATCTTTATCATTCCTTAGAGCACATTTCTTCCATTACATTGTATTCACAGACCATAATTTGTCCAGTTCTTCTCCAACTGCGGAGCACTCCCTATGTTTTAATCACAAAAATAATTTCTATCTATATGTTTTTACTTATGGGTCCTTTTCGTCTCCCTTTCATTTCTTTGGGTACAGACCTAGTGGTCTGCTATCAATGGTGGTGTTATCACTAGGTCAGAATGTATTTGTTGGGCATATTTCCAAAATACTTTCCAGAACGGCTGGCCCACCACCAACAGCTCATTAATATGCTGTTTTCCCATAGCCCATGCAACATTTATTATTTTCCTTTCTGAAGGAAATTTGGCAGTCTGCTGGTTGTGAGGTAGAATCTCAGAGTTGTTTTCATTTGTACTTCGCTGATTAATAGTGATCCAGAGTGGGTTTTTTTCCCAAACAGCTACTAATAACATGGATTTTGTTCTCTGTAAACAACCTATTCATACGCTATGACCACTTATCAGTTGGGAAATGACATGTAAAATTTGCATCAGTTCTTTATATATCAGAAAAATTCGTCATCAGGCAAGATGGTTACAAAGATTTTTTTCCCAATAAACTATTTCACTCCTAATTTTTGTTCCATTGATTTTCTTTGTATGTAGTAGCCTTTTCATTTTATGGAGAAAAAGTAGATGGCTCAGTGTGTGGGAACACTGGGACCAGAATCAGGAAGATCTAAGTTTAAATTGCCTCAGACACTTCCTTCATGTGTGACACTGATAAGTAACTTAAACCTCTGTCTCAATTTCTTCACCTGTAAAATGGGGCTAACAATAATACCTACGTCTGATGGTATGCTGAGGATCACAATGAGATCATAATCCTAAAGTACCTAGCACAGTGCGTAGCACATAGTAACTGCTAAATAAGTGTTAGCCATTATGTAACTAATCAGAATTAGCCACTTGCCTTTAATGAGCTTCTTTATCTTTTCTTTGATCATGACTTGTTCATCATTCCTAGATGTGAAAGATAATTTCCTCTTTGACCCACTATTTCGTCTCAATATCACCCTTTATGTCTCAGTAATGTCCACATTTGAAGGTTATCTTTCTATATGGGATGAGATATTGATCTCCACCTAGTCTCTGCTAACCAGCTTTCCAGTTTTCCCAACAGCTTTTGTTGACTACTGAGTTTCCCTCACAGTTACTGGGTCCTGAGTGATGTTTCAGTGTGTGGGTACCACTTCCTTGTGGAAACCGAGCATAATGTGGCAAAAAGATTTCTGAGGTAGATGGTAAGAGACTCAGCTAGGCAATGGGGTTGTCTTTGCAGCTAAGTAGAGAAATAACCTTGGCCATTTCATTTAATCTGCTTGGCCCTCATTGTCTTCTGGAAATTTCTGCCCTCCTAGAAGATGAGAAGTTGGAGTAGAACATCACTCATGTCTGTTTCATTCCTAACATTTTATTTTCTGTGTCCTGTATCGCTTCTGTAAGAATCAACAAGAGACTGTTCAAGAAGTGGGGCTATTAAGAAAATGAAATGAAAAAAGAATCTGTCTTCAAGGAACTTACATTATCCTCATGGGGATAATACCTATAGGATTTTCACAGAATTTTCTTTGGATCTATTCACCAGTCACTACTGTCTGTCTTCTACACTCACAGTTGGCTCCTGTTTTCAATCATGCAGGGCCTTCTTGCTCATTGAAATTCCACTTTGGTACCTGAGTGGAGTCAAGAACCATGCGCCTTTGTCATCAATAGGACAATCTCCTCTCAGAACATGAGGCTAGACTAGCTCTTCATGCTTCCTGAATATGATTACCCTGTCTTAGAACAGTTGCTTTGCCAGCATTTTCTTTTTTTTTTTTTGGAACTTAATATAAATTTATTTTTAGTTTTATACTTTCACTCCCACAAGTTTTTGAATTCCAAATTTTCATCCCATCCCCCCTCCCCCCACCCCAAGAGGGCATGCATTCTGAACATCTCTTCCCCTAGTCTGTCCTCTCTTCTATCTCTCCCCTTCTCTTATCCCCTTCCCCTTCTATTTTCCTGTAGGGCAGCATAGACTTCTGTACCCCATTTCCTGTATTTCCTATTTCCCAGTGGCATGTGAAAACATTTTTTAAACATACGTTTTTAAAACTTTAGGCTTCAAATTTTCTCTCTTCCTCCCTCCCCACCCACCCTCATTGAAAAGGCAAGCAACTCAATATAGGTTGTACACGTGCAGTTATGCAAAACACTCCATAAGACATGTTGTGAAAAACTAACTCTATTTCCCTTAATCCTATCCTGCCCTCCCATTTATTCTATTCTTTCTTTTGACCCTGTCCCTCCTCAGAAGTATTTACTTCTGATTACCCCTTTCCCAATCTGCCCTCCTCTCTATCATCCCCTGCTCTCTTGTCCCCTTCTCCCCCTATTTTCCTGTAGGGTAAGACAGATTTCCATACCCAATTGAATGTGTATGTTATTCCCTCCTTAAGCCAAATCCTATGAGAATAAGATTCATCATTCCCTCTCACCTTCCCCTTTCCCCTCCACTGTAAGAGACTTTTCTGTTTTTTTTGTGAGATAATTTACCCCATTCTACCTCTCCCTTTCTTCTTCTCCAGTATAATCCTCTCTCATCCCTTAATTTTATTCTCCAGATATGACCCTTAATCTTCAACTCACCCTGTGCCTCTATCTATCTATCTACACATAATACATATAATTTTTTTCCTCCAACTACCCTAATATTGACAAAGGTCTCATGAGTTTTAAATATCATCTTTCCATGCAGGACTGTAAACAGTTCAATCTTAATAAGTCTCTTATGATTTCTCTTTCCTGTTTACCTCTTCATGTTCCACTTGAGTCCTGTATTTGAAAGTCAAATTTTCTATTCAGCTCTGGTCTTTTCATCAGAAATGCTTGAAAATCCTCTATTTCACTGAATGACCATTTTTTCCCCTGAAGGATTATACTCAGTTTTGCTGGATAGGTAATTCCATGCCCTGCGGTCCTTCAATGTAGAAGCTGCTAAATCTTGTGTTATCCTGATTGTGTTTCCACAGTACTTGAATTGTTTCCTTCTGGCAGCTTGTAATATTTTCTCCTTGACCTGGGAACTCTGGAATTTGGCTATAATATTCCTAGGAGTTTTCCTTTGGGGATCTCTTTCAGGAGGAGATCTGTGGATTCTTTCAATTTCTATTTTGCCCTCTGGTTCTAATATATCAGGGCAGTTTTCCTTGATAATTTCTTGAAAGATGATGTCTAGGCTCTTTTTTTGATCATGGCTTTCAGATAGTCCAATAATTTTTAAATTCTCTCTCCTGGATCTATTTTCCAGGTCAGTTATTTTTCTAATGAGATATTTTACATTGTTTTCTAATTTTTCATTCTTTTGGATTTGTTCTACTGTCTCATAATTTCTCATAAAGTCACTATCTTCCAATTGCTCTATTCTAATTTTTAAGGAAGTATTTTCTTCAGTAAGCTTTTGGACTTCCTTTTCCATTTGGCCAATTTTGCTTTTTAGGGCATTCTTCTCCTCATTGGCTTTTTGGACCTCTTTTGCCATTTGGGTTAGGCTATTTTTTAAGGTGTTATTTTCTTCAGTATTTTTTTGGGTCTCCTTTAGCAAGCTGTTGAGTTGTTTTTCATGATTTTCTTGCATCACTCTCATTTCTCTTCCCAGTTTTTCCTCTACTTCCCTTACTTGCTTCTCAAAATCCCTTTTGAGCTCTTCCAAGGCCTGGGACTGATTCATATTTTTCTTGGAGGCTTTTGATGTAGGAGCTTTAACTTTGTTGTCTTCTTCCTGTTGTATATTTGGATCTCCTTTTTCACCAAAGTAAGATAATATACTCTGACTCTTTTTGCGCTGCTTGCTCATGATCCCAGCCAATTACTTGAGTTTTAAACTCTTTGTTAAGGTAAGAGTCTGCTTCCAATGTGGAGAATGTATTGTCCCAAGCTTCAGGGGTTTGTATAGCTGTTTTCAGAGATACTTGTAGGGACCTGTAAATTTTCAGTTCTTCCAAGGTGGTATGATAAGGGGCAAGGTGTTTACTCCTTTCCTGGCCTGTGACCACAAGTATTACTTTCCGTCTTGTAACTGTGAGGAAGGGTTCCTCTCCACAGCCACTCCAAGCTCTACCACGCCAGTGTTCCTCTTCATGCCAGCACCGCCACAAAGAACTGTGACCCAGATCCAAACACGGACAAAGCAAGAGATCCCTGCAATCTCTCTCTGATCAGCCACTGAATTCCCCCTCAGTCTGTGGGCCGGAAGCTCAGGAAACAGCTGCTCCCCCAGGGCCACGCTCTTGGGGAATGGAGCTGAAACCCCACCTTCCTGTCTCAGAACCGACAGAAACAGACTTTTCCCACTGACCTTCTAAGTTGTCTTTGGCATTCGTGGATTGAGGAGTCTGGAAACCTCCACAGCTGCCCACGATTCAGTCCTCTGAGGCCTGCTCCAGGTTCACGGCAGCCTGCGCACCCACGCCACTGCACTCCCACCCTGGCGTGATACACCTTTCTGATCATCATTCAGGTTGTCTTGGGCTGGAAATTTGTTTCACTCTGTCTTTTTGTGGGCTCTGCTGGAATAGAATTTCTTTAGAGCCATTTTTTATGAGTATTTGGAGGGGTTTGGAGAACTCAAGCAAGTCACTGCTTTCACTCCGCCATCTTGGCTCCTCCCCCAAGACAGAAACTTAAAAGAAGCCTTTGCCAGCATTTTCAAGAATGCCTCTATAAATGTGCTCCTGCTGAGATCAGATTTCAGCATCCTAGATGCATCTTCTCACGTTAGGAGGTAAGGGAAAGTGTAGAGTTTGTAACTGAATGGGAACTTCAAATGGAAAAATTGGAGAAGAAAAAGTAGAAAATGGTCTTTGTGCTGAAGATGCCTATAGAAGGGAACTCAGAAAAATCCCATCCAGAGAGCAAGAACACTAGTGCTTAAGTGAGGTAGTTTGAATTTAAAAAAGAAAATGACTTTGGCAGGTGAGTGGAGGATGAACTGGTCTGGGGAGAAGCTGGAGGCTGGGAGACCAACAAGCAGGCTCTGGTAAGAGTCCAGGATGAGATGACAAGAGCCTGCACCAGGGGGAGGGCTGGGGCACTGGACAGAGCAGATGTGTGCAGGGAAGAGATCGTGTAAAAAGAGAAATCACTCAACTGGGCAGCTGACCCCATATGTAGGCTGAGAGAGGGAGGGAACGGTCAAAGGGAACAATGACGCTGCCAGCCTGGGTGACCTGGAGGGTGTTGGTATCCTCCAAGGGAATAGCCAGGTTCAGAAACAGGGAGGGTTTGGGGAAAGATACTGAGTTGTCCTGGGAGATGGTAAGTGGGAGATGCCTATGGGGCATCCACTTTAAAATGTCCTATTTATTAGTTGTAGAAAAACAAGTGTAAAGGAGTGCATCAGATGAGATCCCCAAGTGAAAGAGTTTAGGGAGAGAAGAAAGAAGGTCCAGGCCAGAGCCTTGGAGAAGCCTCTCAGACAGAGGGCATGACACGGATGCTCACCCAGCAAAGGAGGCAGAGAAGGGAGGAGTGGTCAGACAAGGAGGAGGGGACCCCGAGGGAGCAGAGCCATGAAATTGTCAGGGAAGACAAGATGAGGCCTGAGAAGAGGCCACTGGATTGGGACATTTGGGGAGGGAGTTAGCAATAACCACTGAGAAGATGAGAGAAAGTCTCCCAGGACAGGCTACTTTTCAGGCTTCCCCCCACCTGCTGACTCAGGTCAGGTACATGAGCATTCATGAAGTGTCTGCTGGGTGCCAGACATTGTGCTAAGCACTGAGGATACAAAGAAAGACCAAACCCAGGCACTGCCCTCAAGGAGCTCCTGGTGTCTAGTGGAGAGACAACCTGCAAAGGGCAAAGTACAAATGAGACACAGAAGGCGAGGGTCCATCTGGGGAGGGGGTCTGTGTGGGGTGCTGCACTGGCATTAAGGGGGACCAGGAAAAGCTCCTTACAGAAGAGGTGACTGCAGCAGGGCCCGAAGGAAGCCAGGGACCCTCTAAGGTCGGCTCCTACAATTCCCTATACATCTGGTATGCACTTCTTCACGCTCTTGAAATAAGCCCAGGTTTCTGCCTTTCTGGGTTTCTGATGTGTTTCCCCCAGGGTCTGGCAAGGAGGAAGGTATCAATCCACTGAGATCTGTTGATGGAATGGCTTCTTGCCCTCTGTTCCTCTGATGACAGAGAGGACTGGAGAAATGACCTGTCTACACCATGATTAGAGATACCACTTCAGGAAAGAGGACAATTCTGCTTACCTGACAAAGCCTGGGGGTGAGGAATATGGGGACAATCCATCTATAGGGTCGCCCTTGACTCCACCAAATCCCTGGCCAAGACACATCTTCCCAAAGATGCCCTTCCCTTCCACCACCTTAGTGTGCACCTTCTTACTCTCTCACCCGAATTTTATAAACAGCCTCCTGTTATCTGGGTCTCCTGCCTCAAGCCTCTCCCCACTCCAGCCCTCCATGCACAAGTCACTAAATGATTTTCCTATAGCACAGGTCTGACTATGGCACCCCCCACTGTCCCTCAATAAACTCCAGTGGCTCCCTATTCCTTCTAGGATCAAATACAAAGTCGTCCCTTTGGCATTTAACACTCTGCACAAATCTCAACTCTCAGGGAATTGGCATGAGGGTCACCCTTGTGACCCTGGACAAGTCACTTAACTCATTTGAGGCTGGCTTACTCATCTGCAAAAGGAGGGGGCTGGGCCCAGTGGCCTCCCTTCCACATCTATTTCTATGACTCCACAGCAACAAGGGGACAAGCCGAGAGCCCCTTCTTTCTGGCATCTAAAACAAGATAATTTCAGCAAAGAAAGTGAGGAAACAAAATATCAAAATTTACATTCTAATCCAGATCACCCCATCAGAGAGTTCTTCTGTAATGATTAAATTAATAAGGTTTCTCTCCATCACAAGTTCTATAATGTTGAATATGTGCTCTGATCTGGGGGAAGCCTTCCTGCATTTATCACATTCCTAAGATTTCTCCCTGGTGTGTATTCTCTTATGCACTGAAAGATTTGAATTCTGGGTGAAGGCCTTTCCACATTCATTACATTCATAGGGTTTCTCTCTGGTATGTATTCTCTTATGCATTGAAAGATTTGAAAACTGGGTGAAGGCCTTTCCACATTCATTACATTCATAGGGTTTCTCTCTGGTATGTATTCTCTTATGCACTGAAAGATTTGAATTCTGGGTGAAGGCCTTTCCACATTCATTACATTCATAGGGTTTCTCTCCAGTGTGAGTTCTCTGATGTCGAACCAGTGCTACACTGCGGGGAAAGTCTTTCCCACAATGACTACATTTAAAAGGTTTTTCTCCAGTATGAACACTACTATGTTTTGTAAGACCGGACTTCTGAGTGAATGCCTTTCCACATACACTGCAGTCATACGGTTTCTCTCCAGTATGAATACGACTGTGTTTGGTAAGACCACACTTCTGAGAGAATGCTTTCCCACACACACTGCACTGATGAGGGTTTCTTACTCCACTATGAGTTCTCCGGTGCAGAGTAAGATTAGAGTTTGATCGGAATGTCTTTCCACAGTCACTGCACTTAAATGGTTTCTCCCCAGTATGAATGCTGAAGTGCTGTCTAAGGTGTGACTTCTGGCGGAAGATCTTCCCACATTCTGTGCATTCATATGGCTTCTCTCCAGTATGAATACGACTGTGCTTGGTAAAATTAGACTTGCGATGGAACACTTTCCCACATAAGCTGCATTTATGTGGTTTTATTCCTGTATGAGTTTTCTGGTGCTGAGAACAGTCACTGCTTGAAAAGAATGCCTTCCCACATTCACTACATTCATAGGGTCTTTTTCCAGTATGAAATCTGCAGTGTCTTGTAAGACTTTTCTTGTGCTGGAAGACTTTTCCACAGTCACTGCACTTGTGAGATTCGTTTTGACTTTCCATACTAGTGTGTAGAGTATGATCTGCCGTTTGACAGGATGTTTTCCCACATTTAATCAATTCAGAAGACATTTTTCCTGCATGAGTTCTCTGGCATAGAGTAACTTCATTATTTGGGAAGAAAGAATTCCCACTTTCTTGAAGCTGCTCTTCAGCATGAATTCCATGTTTCTGAATTTGGTCCAAATCATAACCAAAAGCTTTCTGACATTTGTTAACCTCAGAATATTTCTTCTGTGAATGGATTTGATTACTTCGTCTTTGGTCTGACTCCAAGCTCCTTCTCTGGTTACCACTCTCATGGAGATCCATTACTACAGACATTCCACATTTTGGAAAAAGGACTAGCTCTGGGCTCACGGTTTGGCTGCATCTACTGTATTCAGAGCCTCTGACTTCATCAGCAGTTTCTGCTTGGATTACTTTTCCTTGTCTAGAGAGTTTCTCCTCATTGCTCTTGACACAACACTCCCAAGTTTTCCCCATTTTGGAGATGCATGGGTCATTACACAAGGACTTTTGCTGGGATAAGACTTCTATAGACATACTTAACTTTGGCATTGACTCCTTGGTCTGAGGCCTGGTGTCCCCATCTGAAGGAAAGAAAAAGTGTAAATGTCCTTTTCCTTGTATGAATAAGCTTTTCTGTACACTTCACTTTTTCCAATATTCTGTCTCGTATAAGCAATGTATGTGTTTTTTTCCAAGTGAAGTGAAATCAATTCTTAAGGTTTCCAAAATTACTCTGAAGTCACCAAGCTTATCCTTTCATTTAGCCCAGTATTATAGTAGGTGAATATGCCAGAACTGATGCAGATAATGCACAATTAATGAAACTATGAACAACTGCTCTCTCCCATACACCAATATGAACAAAGTACCTTAAAGTGCTTTTTTTTTTTAGGAAAATTCTTCATCTGAATATCACCCCTGGGAGTCATGAGAATGCGATCACTGGGTCTAAGAAGAGGAAGTTCTGAGGAGCTCCTATGCCGCAGAATTCCACTTTGCTTTCCAAAAAGATGAAAATAAGTCAAAGTTCCACCCACAGTGGAGCAGCGCTCCTGCATTCTGAAGGCACCAACAGAATCATTTGTATTTCTCCCTATCAAGTGACTCTGGTATAAAAGGCAACAACATCCAAACAAACTAGAGTAGTGGGGAGAAATGAGCTGTAAGATTGCTGTCTGAGGGGCAGCTGGGTAGCACAGTGGATAGAGCACTGGCCCTGGAGTCAGGAGGACTTGAGTTCAAATCCAGTCTCAGACACTTGATACTTACTAGCTGTGTGACCCTGGGCAAGTCACTTAACCCCACTGCCTAGCCAAAAAGAAAAAAAAAATCATGTCTGCAAAAGATCTCATGACCGGGGCAGCTAGGTGGCGCAGTGGATAAAGCACCAGCCCTGAAGTCAGGAGTACCTGAGTTCAAATCTGATCTCAGACCAAACACTTGCCACTTACTAGCTGTGTGACCCTGAGCAAGTCACTTAACCCCAAGTGCCTTTAAAAAAAAAACAAAAAACATCTCACGACCAAAAAAAGTCATCCAGAGGATCACATATATGCCCATTTTCATGAGGTGCCCAAATGTACTGAGTTTGGGCACTCACACACTCACCTGGCCAGCAGCTTCTTAGGACACTATCCACTGGAATCCCATGTGCTTCCCCTGACTCCAGCTGAGAGATCATGTCCACATTGGAATCTGCAAGGCCTAGTCAAGGGAAATGGCACAGTGATGGACAGGTATGGTCACCTCACAGCCCATGCCTCACAGACAGTCAGGAGACAGTGAGGAAGGGCCAGGGAGTCTGGGGGCTGTGCAGAAGCATACAGAAAACATCTGAAGGGTGATCTGGTTTCTTTTCCTGGGAAGATACAGCAATGGGACAAAGAATGGAGTTGGGTTCAGAGAGACAATGAGTTCATTTGACCCATTCAATGCTGAGGTATCTGGGAGCTGTCTTGACTTCAGTATCTGACTTGAGAAAGCCTCCCTGGACTGAAGAGAGCTGAAGCAGGCTCACACAATGAAGCAGACAGTTTCCAGCCATACAAAGCAAGAGCCCTTCAGCTGGGACCAGGCAGAGCACAAGAACCACGTCTCTTGGCCTCACTGCAAGTAACAAATGCTTGGTTTTCTTACAGGCCAAAGCACCAGTGCTGAACAGTGGACCCAGCCCCAGCAGAAGGAAGCACATAACCTTTTGGGGCAGATCCCAAGTCCCCAGAGGAGCCTCCTTACCCAGGCTGACCAGGTTCCTGTAGTTCTCCAGCATCACCTCCCAGTAAAGCTCCTTCTGAGAAGTGTCCAGGTAGCCCCACTCCTCCCAGGTGAAGTCCACAGCCACATCCTTGAAGGTCACTGATTCCTGAAACAAATAAATCTGTGCTTGGCCAGGGACCACAACCCAGACGGATGTAGAAAGGGGGGTGAAGGGAGACAGGAATGAGAAAGACTGATTCTTACTATATTCAGGTTGCAGATGGTTCAAAGCAAAATCTTGAGTAGCATTTACTAGGTGCCTCAGATTCTGAATCATGTAATAAAACAATAGTCATTGTCAAACCCATAAGCATTGATGGAGTGTCTGCCCTGTGTCAGGCTCTGTGCTGAGCACCGGGGATACGAATTAGGACAAAAGCAGTCCCTGCCCTCAAGGAGCTCACAGTCTAATGGGGGAGACAGCAGGCACAGAAGCAGTCCTGAGGGTTCAGCAAGGCCCCAGCAGCTGAGGAGACCAGGCGTGGGTTCCTATAAAAGTCAGGGCTTGAGCTGAATATTGGCAGATTAAGTCAGTGCCTCCAAGAGGGGCAAGGTGAGGGGAGAAAAGCATTCCAGGCAGGGAGAGGAAGCAGAGGCAGAGGAGAGATGGGGGTCACATGTGAGGAACAGAAAACAGGCCAGGCTGGCCGGGCCACAGGAAGCAGGGAGGACTTTAACATGCTAAGACAGGGGAATGAGGAAGGGCTCAGTTTGTGCAAAACATTAAATGCCAAATGGGGGGTTTTATCTGGCCCTGGCACAGTCAGAGCTCTAACCACTGTGGTCTGGGGACTGAATCTGCCCAGGTGCTCTGAGGACAGAGAGCACTGAGAAAGGACCTATCTACACACTGTGACCTGAGACACCTGTCAGGGAGAAGGACTTTGCTGCTTACCTGGGGGGGGCCTGCTGGTGAGGAACTCGGGGCCCATTCTGGCTCCTTCCTGCTCCCCGCTCTGGCCCGTACCCAGGCCCCTGGGGTCCCACGAGGCAGAGCTGGAAAGGAAAAGGCAGCCATGAGGGGGGTGGGCCCTTCCCCCTCCACCCCAGACCTGCCTCTGCCTGGGAAATGCCCATAGTGACCCTGGAGGCAGCCTGTCTGTGTCCAGGACTCAGGTCAACTCAACGTGCACTGATGAAGCGCCCACTGTATGCTTCACTGAATTCTAGGTGCTAGAGATGCCATGGAGACAGAAAAGCCCAGACTGTGCCACTCCCCTCCAGAAATGCCAAGTCACGTGAGGAGGGAGGGGGCAAGGGCAGCTGGAGAGGGGGGGCCTGGGCTGGGGCTGTAGGCTTCTTTCCCAGGGGGTCTAAATTCTAGAAAGGCCTGGTCAAGTGAGGAGGGAGGGGCGGTGACACCTGGGGGGAGTAAGGGGTGGGGCTTGGCGCTGGGTGGGGGGTCCTCTATGTCAAAGCAGAGCAGGAGAGGGGGAGATGAGAAGAGAGGTGAGAATGGAAGAAGATCCGGGGAGGGGGCGAAAGAAAAAGGGAAAGGAGAGGGGGAAAGTGAGGAGGGAGAAGCGAGGAAGGGGGCGGGGCGGTCCCGCCTCACTGAGAGCCCCCCCAAGGGTCCACGAGCCTTCTCCCCACTTCAGAGAGGAACCAACTAAGGCAAGGAGAGGGGCGGAGAGGCCGGGGAGAGGAGGGGGCGGGGGTCCCAGGCGCCCCCCCTTCCCCCACCGGCCACCCCTCGCCCGGGACGCAGGAGGAGCGCTGCCATGGACAGGACATAAAACCTCACGTGTCTCTGGACGGCTCTGAAACTGAACAGGAAGCATGAACTTCCGCGTCTGCGCAGTAGCTCCCTTGGCGAGGAACGCTCCCATCGCCGAGCTCCTAGGGGCGGGGCGTTCTTGTGAGTCTCCCGGGCAACGCCCCCTTTTTCTTCCTTGGCTGGAATTGGGGCCTGGGGAATCCGCTCCTCCCCCTCCCCGCCAGGCCACGCCTGGAGTTTTGAGCCAGTCAGAGGAGACGCTGCTGTCGCGGCCCCACCCCCACCGGCTTCTGCTCCCTCTCTCTGCTCCCTGCTCCCCCCAACCCCAGTACAAGTTTTCCAGGGAAGTTAAACAGTTGGCATTAGGTCAGCTGTCACCTGGGAGTCCAGGAAGGTCTTGGGCGTGAGGACTCGTCCCTAGGGAGCAGTGATGATAGCTCCTGGGGCTGAGGGCGCAGCTGAGCCTCAGGGCCACATGTACTGTGCTTTTCTATTAACAGAGTTACCAGAATTTGTATTATCATCTACAAATCCTGTACATCAAATACAAATATGCAAATCCTACAAAATTCTATAATCTGTAATAACACCATTGACACATAATACATCAGTGGGTATTTGGTCCTAAAGCACTCTTATCCTAACAGAATTAACATAGCTAACTCTCTGAAACCAGAGACTCTTTTACTCAGTTCACCAATGTCATCCCTGATACCCACCTAATCACAAAAACTCAGAAAAGGCTTACTAATTTGTGCAGGGGCATCAAAATGACCATCACCCAGAAACATGAACAATGACACAGACACTGTACCAGAGCTGAGGATGGCCTGCCTTCTCTCCCCTCCAGGAAACCACCATGGGGGCTGCCTCTTGCTCCAGATTTCAAGTTTAGCCTTTAATTTCAACAGTGACCAGAGGCAAGTGCTTTCACTGGCTAACCCTCACAGCAGATTTGAAATGAGAAACATCTTCTAATGAAATAGGCCACGCTAGTCCAGAGGAATTTACAGTTACAGGCAGCACTTCCCATTCACAGTCTGCATCATTTTTGCTGGAGGACAAACACCCCTTTCCATTTTATCCTCTGCTCCATTTCAGACTCAGTAAGTGTGACTGTTGGCTGCAGTAAAAGCAGCCACTGACACAGTGTGTGAGGGTGACGAGTATAGCAGGGTCCCCTCTACCCTGGGCAAATGGACTGGTCAATGAAATGATGACCTGTCTAAGCAAGATATGCACAGAACTCTGAGCTAGCCCCTCTTGCCTGCATATCTCTGATTATAATGTTCTGTAACTGCTATTTAGAAAACTGGGCATTTCCACTCTTGCCTATAGCTAAGCAGCAGTTATGGCTAAATCAGTCTGGCCATCATTTATGAAAATTGTAAGATTACTAACTAAGTTATTTGGGGTTATTGTTTTGATGTTAAAACCTAAACTTGGTGATTGATTACTGTGTGGAAGGGAGGGGATGAGGTGAAAGCCTTATCTGGATTGGTTCTGCCCATTCAAAGCAATCCTCAAGGCTAGTCTATTCCACCTTGGAGGAAGGGTGGTGTCAAAGAGCATAGCCCACAGCTGTTCTAAGGGCAGATGGAGTGGATATCCCTTACTCCCCTCACTTAGGAAGATCCCAAGGTCACCTATTATGTAGGGCAGTAGGGGGTGACCAGAGGCAACCATGTGGCAGCCACCATATACACTTGGATGCAGGACATCCACTCCAGCCTGATATCTCCCTCTAACTCCTCCTGGGGGTCATGGTTCCTCCATTATTTTACTTGCTCTAATATTTGGTCCATGTTTGTTTAATTCCTGGTTTGCTTTGTGTATTCTTGCCTGCAAAAATTCTACGTTCAACTCTTAAGATGCCAGCCCCTACCCTTGGTGGCCCCAAGTGGTTTGCCTCTCTCCACACTGGACTCAGCTGGCACTGCATCCCACACCTTCACACTGAACTCCCCCCATCAACCTATTCTCAGCCCTTGAAATCGACTCTTCGTCCCTGTCCAGCAGGAAGCAGCTACTGAAGACAATGACCTTCGCCCCTTTTCCTGAAAGATTCCTCCTGCCTAGTGTTTGAGTGGGGATATGATGTGGGGGGCAAAGAGTGCCCTAGGATTAAAAATAATATTAAGGGTTACTTTCCCAGGCCCTTGAGGGGGTTCGAGGCTCATTCTGTAGCCCATCCTGTACCTTGAGATCCTGGATCTTGAAAACTTCCCAAGTCCTTTTCTCTTTATCTCAAAATGCCATACAACTTGCACCAAAAGAATTGCCTTTGTTTCCCTTATCTTGAGATACCATAAAACTTTTCCTTTCCTTTAGCTTTCTTCAGATCCTTTTAGATGGGTACTGCAGGGTGTTTATCTGCCCACGACCCCTTGCAATGCTGCCTCCTACATTTCTGCCAATGCACTGGGACATTCCTTTGTGGTAGAATGCCGAGGCACCTGGTGTTTTTCTGAGCTGGTTTCCACCAGTTCCCCCCGCCCTCACTGAGGCACTTGGAGGTCCAGGTGCTGGTGTTTGCCTGCTCTACCCCCTGGGCTTCAGGATCTCTTCCTGGTTGACAGTTGGAAGTTCTGATAGCTTACCTGATAGTGGGTTGGAATCAGCAAGGCTGGGACTTCAGGAAGACTTTAGGTTACTTTCTTCAGCTCTTTTCAGATGAATGCTATAGGGTACTTATCCTTCTGGGGCCTTTTGTAGTGCTGCTTCCCTTATTTTTGCTGAGGCACTGCGAGTCCCATTTGCTGGGCTGCTGCACTGCTGCTCCCCATCTTTCTTCTAGTTCAGGTGTTCCAGGGTTTTTTTCTGGGGTGATATTTTCTGGGTTTTCAGAGGTTGATAGGGGAGAGTGCGAGCGACTACCTTTTTACTCTGCCATCTTGGCTCCCCGAAAAAGCTTAACACAGAAGATGGCACTTCAGTTGCACCTTCAAGGAAAGGGGGAATTTTGAGAGATAGAGGTAAGGAAGAAGTACATTCCAGTCACGAGGGGCAGCCAGTGTAAAGGGACAGAGAAGGGGCAGACTGTTGTGTGGGACAGTGGGTAAAGAACAGGATAAGTCAAAAATAGCTGGGGTCAAATGCTGCCTCAGACACCATGCCCACAGAGAGACGGCTCTATAAGCAGGGGCAAGTCATTTAACCTCTATTTCCCTCAGTTTCCTCATCAGTAAAATGGGGATATCACTTCCTTCCAAGCATTGTTATAAGAATCCAATGAAATACTTGTAAAGTGCTTTACCAACTTTAAAGTGCTATGCAAATACTTGCTGTCATCATTAGGAACAGAAATCAGTTTGGCTGGATAAGAGAGTGAAGAAGAATGTCTACTGACTGCTAGAGAGATAAATTGGGGCCACAGGAGGTTAGTGAGTAGAAGAGTCATATCATCAGAGCCCAGCTTCAAAAAACACACTGACAGCTGCGTGTGGGGTGCCCTGGAGTAAGCAGAGCCTTGAAACCAGGAGAGCAACGAGGAGATTGTTGGTTGCAATAATCACTCAGGTGAGAGCTAGCTGTGTGGCTAAAGGGGTGAGATAGAAGAAACATCATGAAGGCAGAAAATCCAAGTTTCAGCAACTGAAGGGATATGTGAAGTGAGCAAAGGTAAGAAGTCAAAGATAACAAATGGTGAATCCGGAGTATTAGAAGACTGGCGGTACTTTTAGAAGAAATAGGGAAGAGGATTGATTTTGTAGGAAGAGTGATGATGTATTTTGGACATAGTGAGTTCGAGATGTCTCTGGAACACAAGAGTTTTAAATACCCAACAGACAACCGGAAATCCAAGACTGAAACTTACGCAGGAGACCGAGACCAGCTGCGTAAATTTGAGTCATATGCAAAAAGAAAAACTCACCGGAGCTGCTGAAGTCACCAAGCAGGTGAGAGAGAGTTAGTCTGAGAAAGGAAGACATCAAGGATGAGAGCAGAATGGCTCAAGTTTAA